ATTAAGAATTAATAAATTTTTACTCCTATTAATTCTTATTACTAATTATAATTATTAATAGGTACATTTTCAAAATAACGAACAAAGCGCGTTTAGAAAGCGAGAAGTTTATTAGTTATTAAATCGTCCCCTTAATGCCAAAACCGATTATCTGCACTGTTCCCCTACTGAACTTTTATCATACCAATTCACTCGTCTCATTAAGGCGCATCTACAGGTAAAACCCATTATGCTCTACGACGCATACTTCCTGAAAAAGCTAATGAATAAACAGAATAACTGCAAATTATTTCCAAAATTCTTGATTTAAAACCTAATAAACCCATTCAAAACACTTGAGTTTGTAAGTGTATTACCACTGAAACCAAGTTTCGGATTTAAACTCATTTTTCATGTAGACACTTAGAGTAAATATCCTGTGAGATTATTCCGCTAAAATTAGGTATCCCACGGTAATTGGCTTTGACTGTTTGAATTTTACCAGCTATTGTAATTTTACTACGAGTAGATGAAGTAAAAACTAACAAATCTGTCGCTTTTTGCATAAAACAATGTATAGTATATTTGCGTTATATTTGAAGCAAGTAAAAGAAGATACCGAATTTCAATTTGTTTTTACTGTATTCCTTTTATTCGACGCTTTATAAACTACTTCAGCTAAAGTCGATTATCGGTGCTTACTCTTTTCTTCCACTGTAAGTTTAATAAGCGTAAGTCATCGTTACTTTAAAATTTATGCTTCAGCTAAAACCAGCTCGATCCATGTTTAACCGTATCTTCTGTACACAAATCGCGCGCTAGCGAGTGAGTTGCTCACTTTTATTTATTCATTGTTGAATCGCGCGCTGGTTAACACTGTTATTCTTTTGTTTAATTAATCACTAATAAACATTACTGGGTAAACTATTGTGCGTTTTTGGTTTAAAATGATAACTGCTAAGAAAGATGACGAAAAGTAAACTCCAAAAATGCCAAATAACTAACTCACGTGGACTTACCCGACCAACTTTCAGCCAATAGCTGTCACCTCAGTATTGTGCAAAGTCTTAGAAAGAGTTCTAAATAACCATATAACCCGCTACCTTGAAGACCACTCTCTGATCAACGATCGTTAATACGGATTTAGACCGAATCAATCGACAGGTGACCTTCTAGCGTACGTGACATATATCTGGGGTGAGGCTATCGTTTCGCGAGGTGAGTCTTTGGCTATCAGCCTTAACATCGCCAAGACTTTGATAGGGTCTGGCACATAAGTCTTCTCTCCAAGCTTCCTGGATACGGTCTGCTTACTCAGTTTTGTGCCTGGGTGGCTGACTTTCTGCATGAGCGTCGACGGACGGCGACGGATGCAGTTCGCAGTTCACGTCAGTGAATGCCGGTGTTCTTTAGGGCTCCGTCCTATCCCCTACACTCTTTTTGCTGCATATCAATGATTTAACTCCTCTTGAGAATATTCATTGCTATGCAGCCAATAATACAGTGCATGAGGGATATTTTGGATACGCAGCGGCTGGACAAGTAGAAACCAAGGAGAAACAGGACAATCTTGTCATTCAACTCAATCAAGATTTGGACCGCATTTCTGAATGCGGTACCAAGAACTTGGTTGAGTTCAATGCCAACAAAGCCCAGGTCTGCGCTATCACGGTAAAACTAACGTTTTTCACGCCTGAGGAACTATACTCGTTGTACAAAGACGCAAGTACGGTCTTGCATGGAATATTGTTCGCACCCCAGAGGATGGCTCCGCCAAGTACTTTTTTGATGCTTTGGATAGGTTACAGCGGAGCGCGAACCGCATTTTTTGCGATAAGGAGGTGACTAAACACCTCGAACCTTTCAATTACGCCGTGATGTGGCGTTATTAACCGCGTTTTATCGTCTATACCATGGCGCATGTTCTGAGAAGTTATTGTCCCTCAACCTACCTTCCCCTTTCCTACAGAAATCTACACGCGCTGGCCTACGTTGTCACCTGTTGACTTACTGTGAACTACTATTCCCACTATTCCAACGTGAACAAAAAAATTTGGTAACTCATTTCTTTGTCAGACTATCCGCAAATGGATTACTTTGTGTGAAGTAGCAATTTTGCAGGCCGGCAAAGTGAGGATAGCTGGTGTGGCAAGTAAAACTGTTGTAGCAGCTATCTTCGCGTCTAGACTCCTCCGTCACTTAACCTCTGGTGGAGTCATTTGTAGAACCTATTTATAAAAAAAAGATATATAGCAGAGAAAAAAGATCTCGATGATTTGTGCAACAAAGATGTCATACCTAAGGAGTACCTTGGATTATACAGATCTTTGGCTACAGAAACAAGCCAATTTGATCGTTCTCCTTCAAAAACAATTTCTGACGACTCATTATGTGCAAGCGAGTCAAGTGCAGGTGAATAATACAGATTTTTTACACTTTTTATATAGATATACTCTCGGCCGCCAACGACTTCGTCCGCTTTAACTTTAATATACATTTTTAAACCAGATATTTTAGATAGAAATACTACTGCACCCGAAATATCGAACCTACAGTATCTAAGTAAATGTACATCACAAACCGAAATTCTTTAATAAATTGACTCAAGGATCTCTAAAAACTTATGGATGTATAATTTCGGCGATACTGTCATTCGCTGGACTCTTATCGGCATTACAGTCCACCGAATCAATTGCCTCCATATTACTGAAATGATATATTTATATAGTTCACCCAGTAATGTTTATTCGTGATTAATTAAACAAAAGAAAAACAGTGTTGCCCAGCGCGCGATTCAACAATGAATGAATAAAAGTGAGCAACTCATTCGCTAGCGCGCGATCTGTGTATGGAAGAGATGGTTAAACATGGATAGCTGGTTTTAGCTGAAGCATAAATTTTAAAGTAATGATGACTAACGCTAATTAATTACAGTGGAAGAAAAGAGTAACCAACGATAATCGACTTTAGCTGAAGTAATTTATAAAGCGTCGAATAAAAGGAATTCAGTAAAAACAAATTGAAATTCGGTATCTTCTTTTACTTGCCTCAAATATAACGCAAATATACTATATATTGTTTTATGCAAAAAGCGACAGATTTGTTAGTTTTTACTTCAACTAGTAAAACTAATATAGCTGGTAATATTCAAATAGTCAAAGCCAATTACCGTGGGATACCTAATTTTAGCGGAAAAATCTCACAGGATATTTACTCTAATCCGAAACTTGGTTTCAGTTTAATTAGTAATAAGAATTAATAGGAGTAAAATTTAATTTAATTCTTAATTAATAATTCTTATTATAAAATAACGAACAAAAATATTTACAAAGAATAAGGAAATTTATTTAGATTCAAAGTAGAGAACCCTTCTATTACAAAGGCGATGTTCTTGGCTGTGTCATTTCGGGGGTCATTTTTTTACCATTTCAGTACACACTTTTCATTTCAGTGGACTCCCGAAAATATTTCACTTAAATATTTCAGTAAGTGGTTATTGTTGAATTAGACCCGTAGGATCGCTTTAAAATGAAAAAAAAAAGATTAATAGTATATTTTCTTTTTTTATTTTGCACCTTTGATTGCATTTTTTGCAAAAACTATGAGAGATACGCGAAAATATGTTGATACCTTTTTTGTAGGAAATTAAATTTTCTACAACTTTGTCCTAGGAACTTTTTCTATTTTCCCAGCCAGTCGCGAGATATTCACGAAAAACTTGTTTTTGCACCATTTCACATTTTTTTTGCACCCGTTGCCGTCAATGCAGCACCCTGCAATTTTAGTATATTAATCTACGAACCCTTACGGAATTTTTCGCGGCTGGCGCTAGCTGGGCCTCCCCCTACGGGGTCTCACCCGGCATGGCTGACCGCGCTGAGGGCCGTGTCGTAAATTGCGAAACAGGACTGGGCAGAAAGAAGAACAAAAATGGCTCGTCACCTACGACAGCCGCTAACCAGCGGCTCCCAACCCCACGGGGGCGCACCCCCGTGAGATGCAGCCCGGGAAAAGAAGTCTACTTCGAACCCGTACCCGTCGGAAGACGGAAGACCACGAACGGAAATTTTCGCGTTGGTTGCAGGTGATCAACTCAAAATGGCAAAGTTAAGCTTTCATTGACTGGACTATAAGTAGTTATGCTATGCCTCTATGTTTTGCTTTTTTTGTAACTGCTTCTTAAATCTCCACACTAGACGTCTTTAGTGGTGATTAAAAATTTGTTTATTTTTGTCGCGTTTGAGGGCTTCTAGTTTCTTTGAAACACAAGTTATCGAAAAAGGGAAGACATAGGAGCATAGAATGAGTAAAATTATATTTTAAGTATGAAAATCATTTCTTTGGTGATAAAAATCAAGGATGAATCTGTCAAGAACGTGTGTATGGAATAAAACATTGCCCGCCTCCCCTCAAGCTTTAAATTAAAAAAAATAATAATGGTATACAGCGTTTAATATTCATAATTATTTTTGAGTAAGTAAACAACAATTTATATGCACTATACAATTAATTGGTAAAATCAATATTTCAAAAATATATTCTTTATTCAGCCTCGTTTTGTTAAAAATATTCATTATGGATATTGGACAATATACTATCTAATTCAAATTAAAGACAATACGAAGTTGTGTTATGCAACGATTTTAAATCGAATATAACAGTAGAAAAATACTTAAAAGATTGGAACTTTGCTATCATTATTGTGCTAGTAACATGGACCATATATTATTGGTCCACCTTTACCTATTATCCTATAGTATATATGGTCAGTGATTTCTCTCAAAGTATTTAAATACGAATGAATCAATCACCTTTAGGAACTGGGAACATGGCATAAACAGCGGGAAAACAATGGATTCCATAATGCTAATATAGCTATACTCTATTCAACTTCCTCTGAGACAAAAGGTAAACAAATACACCAATGTTTCTAAAACTGTTTTTATCGAGAGTAAAGATGGTCGGTGTAACCAGACTGTTTACAAAATTTCACATTTCAACATAAATTATTTGCTTTTTCAATTCTCTTCAATTTAGTAGTATCATAACGCGTTCAAAGTTTGGGAATAGCTACAGTTTTATGTCTTTTTAATGTCACATTTTTGACGTGTAACATCTTACCTCTCGCTTTCCTGCATTTTGTGGGAGTGATTTCGTGAAATGGAACGGAAGTGTGTAACAGGAAGTCGCGAAAGCGCGCGCTATTTGATTTGATTTTAGAACATAAAGTTCAAATGGCTTATTCCTTTTGTAGTAGGTTTTATTTCTTTTTTTACTAATATAAGATGAGGTTTCAAATGTTACACATCATACGCGACTACTGTAAGGCTCGCTTGTGTTTTAATTATGATTATATATGCGTATAAAATTCGACCTATTGAAAACCTATTTATGGTTGATTTACCGTTTGTCTCAGTGGAAGTTGAATAGACTATAGATGGTTTTTAACATTGCGTTCATAAAAAAACATAACAAGTTTGCGATTTTGAATCTCTTACGTAGGTTACGCTATATTATAATGATGGTTATGACTTTGGTATGGCTGTTTCATGCAAAGGAATGACCTCCTTTAGCTGATTCGGGGGGAAAACACCCTTTTCGGTAATAATGCCTGTGATAAGACATGCTGGGGTGACATCAAAAGATGGATTCCAGCAGTTTATTCCTGAAAAAAAAACAGTTGAAATTTAGTTTAAATTGGGATGGGAATACAGGCACACCAATAGGCTGATGATTATGACAATATTGAAACAATAATAACATAATAATATTATCAAATATTTTACGCAAGAATAGGGGTGACGACGGGGTAAAAAAAATCTATTTAGTCCATCAGTTAGATAATCAAAAAATAATGGACACGTATTTTTTCTTTGGTTAATCAACCAAAAAATAACAAAGATAAAGCGCATCAAAGTTTGGGAGTGGTGGCTCGTGACGTCACTTTTAAGTACAAATGGTACCAAAACGTGACGTCATGCAACTTTTCAAATCAATATTTCTCTATAATGTTTTGATTATGTGAAAAAAGAAAAAAAACGTGTCCAATACTTCTTGGTAATCTACCTGATACACGAAGAAAAAAAAGTAAGTCGTCATCCCTATTTAGCTGCTAGATATTAATGTTACGAAAAATTTTACTACCACACAGTTCTTTTAGCATCATACAGAATGCGATCCCGATTTTGCATAATTTTTCATTAATGCTCCGCTCCTATAGGTCGTAGAGCGTTATGTTATATAGCCTTACAGCCTTCTTCGGTAAATGAACTATGTAACACAAAAATATTTTTTATAAGTATCTATTTTTTCTAACCAAACAAACAAAGTCTTCAGCTTTATAATATTAGTATAGTAGATAGATATGAAGTACAGTACCTGGTGCAGCTATCCTATGTTCACCGATATGAGTCATTTCTCTATCAGGCCGTTCCTCAATCTTGATTCTCTCGCCGGATGTGAGTGACATATCGATGGAGCTGAGCGGTGCTGCTACGTAGAACGGAACACCGTGGTGCTTCGCCGCTATGGCTATTTGGTATGTTCCTATTTTGTTAGCAGTGTCACCGTTGGCAGCAACCTATTAAAAATCAAAAGTCTAATTGTAACTAAGTTACCAATAAACAAAAACAGGTTTCATCTAAATCATTTCAGCGGTTTAAGCATGAAAATGTAATAGACAGACAGGCAACCACACTTTCGCATTCATAATATAAGTATAGGATAGCATAGTTTGGATGGAGAATAGATTATACAGAGTGACGCGAAAGAAATCACTGTATCAAAAGATGTTATAAATTGCAAATGGCGTCGTACGACAATCATATCTGATATTTGTGAAATAGACAGATGCAGAACAAACAGACAGACAAGCATGATAAGACCGTGCAGACATAACATGATTTTATATTGGCGATTTGGCATGGCCAGCAAGATCGCCAGATTTAAACGCCCCAAATTTCTTTTTGGGGCTACTTGAAGTCAAAGGATTATGCCAACAATTTAAGGAGTCATTCGACAGGAATGCAAGCCGTTATCACCGGAATTCTTGCTGAAATAAATGGAAAACGCAATGCAACGGCAGCCAATGACAGATATCACTTTTTCCACTTAACAGAAGGTTCTAATAAATATTTCCATCAGTATCTTCTCTCAATATACCTATATTTATTTTATTTAAAGTTATGCAAAAACAAAATTGGATCATTTGATCATTGCTTTTGCGCCACCTTGTACAGGTACCCTCATCGGAGAGCCATAATCTTCACACTTGCATCAATATCGGCTTAGGTTTAGTTTAACCTTGTGGGTCGAATGTCGAGATGGGAACAAACTGCGTATATAATGTTGTTAGCACTTCACATGGCTAATCATATTTTTTATTTGGGAATTCGACAGCAGCACATCCTTACCATGTTTTCTGAGGAATGAGAAGTAGAGACTGTTGTTAACTTTATAAATACCCGGATATGAATATACGAATTAGCCCCAGACATCCTATTTCTATGAACATATCCATGTGAAGTGCAAGTATTATAGTGAAATATTGACAAACACTGTTAATTTTCATCCCTAGATTGAACTAGATTCAGATATGAATTAATCAAAGCCCTACCCTAATCAAAGTCACTACTAATGTGTGAATGTTATCATTAATTTACAAAATGACATTAGAACGACTTTTATACTTAATACCAATAATTGAAACCCCGAATCACTATATCTCTAAAGAACATTATTCCTAATATTATTCCTTTATTGTTCCGAATGCACGCTATCCCTAATAACTTTAGACCTATAACACTGTATACCTAATATTTCGATCCCGAATGCACGCTATCCCTAATAACTTTAGAATTGGTATTATTTTTCTGGCGCTTCGTCGGCCGCTGCCGCGGCACGCTCGTTTCGCTCGCTCGGCTCGTCACAACACTAACCTAACCTAGTGTAAAGTATCACCACTTGGGCCCTGGAAGTACAGTTTAGCTCGCCACAAATTATTAGGGATAGCGTGCATTCGGGATCGAAATATTAGGTTTACAGTGTTATAGATCTAAAGTTATTAGTGATATACATTATTCCTAATATTTGTAGCCCGAATGCACGCTATTCGGGCTACAAATATTAGGAATAATGTTCTTTAGAGATATAGTGATTCGGGGTTTCAATAATTGGTATTAAGTATAACAGTGCATTCAGTGCCGGCTTTGACCTATTGGAGGCCCTGGGCATATTAGGATAATGGGGCCCCTATGACCCCCGTTTGGTGATCTAATAAGAACTAGTGACTTTGTATTTGTGATCTGAGGTGTCCACCTTTCGATCACAGGGCCCTGGGCACTTGCCTTAAGTGCCCACTGGGAAAGACGGGTCTGAATGCATTAGAACCTATCAAAATCTTCATGTGATAAAAATGCGACTTTGTACTGTTGTTCAACAAACAATTGTTAAATTACGTACACGATCAGCACCGACAACTACTGCTGTAATATTTCTTGTATTCATGAGTGCTGACACCATGCTGTCAACGATGAGTGTACCAGGAATCTTCTCGTGCACCAGTTCGTAGGCCGTCAGACGTGCGCCCTGGTTGTATGGACGAGTTTCAGTGCAATACACATGTTCTGAAACGCAAATAAATTTTATCTGTTAAAATCTTATCAATTTAATTAAGTGCCCACAGTAAATGTAGGGTAACATAGAAATAAAATTATTGTTTATTATATTTTTTAGCATTTAATTTAACTGCCAGATTTATAATCATATATTTTCTTCAAATGAATTCAATTAGTTTTACTTAATTTTAAGAAACTACACAATAGTCACACGGGGCAATTGTAGCTAGGGGGTAAATGTAACTGTTTCAAATAACTCATTCCTATATAGTTTTTTAATTTTGTTACATTTGTTTAGATTTGTTAGTTTGTTCAAAGAATATGTAGGTATTTGTATCTTCTCCATTATTATTTTTGTTTATATGATACGAATAGCCATGTAAAATGCTAGCATGATGTGCCTGCCACCACAAACCTAGATTCAGAGACATCAAAATTATACGTTTGCACAAATAGTTTAATAAATATCCATTGTTAATTTAATGTTTGAATTCCCAAATTTAAGACCCTATTACAAAGAGATAAAAGGCCTCCGTTCGATATCTCTCATTCGTCCCTATTACTGATAATATCTGGAAGTCTTATCCAACTTGGTTGAATGACGTAGGCTCTTAGATGACCGCGACTATGATTGGGTTAGTGGCTGACAACGACTGTGAATTTTACTTTTAATTTATTTGGATTTAAGTAAAAAGATACTAGTGTCGTTCTGGCATAATTCTCGAAACTTAAAACTAAGGCTGGCCTTTTCATTCTGTTTAGAGAATGAAAAGGATGCACTGTTGTCAAATTTAAGTTTAAAGGACACGGTACAAATTTTTATGGAGTGTGCCTCCGGTAGACTACAAATCTTTATGACATGTGGTGCACTTTGTACATAGTCTCGACAAAAAACTAGAATATTTTTTATCTCCTTTTTTTAAATCATTATTATAATTTAAATGACATAGTTATTGATTGACAATTGACAAGTTTCATCATCAACCTCTTAATGTCCCCACTGCTGGGGCACAGGCCTTCCCTATGGATGGAATAGGGAGATTGGGCCATGACCCACCACGCGGGCCCAGTGCGGATTGGCGGGTGCTAACGACTGCAGATGCAGCCGGGACCAACGGCTTAAAGTGCCTTCCGAAGCACGGAGGAACTCGAGATAGTAAAATTTTTTTTGGTCACCCATCCAATGACCGACCACTGCGAAAGTTGCTTAACTTCAACAATCGCAGCCGAACACGCTTTCGTTCAAACTGTAACCTGTAAAGAATCCAAAAAGGCGGGAAATGTATAAAAATATTAAAAATACAGTTGAAACCCGTTAACAGAACTACTATAGAAATAAAACTTTTGAAATTAAATAACGACAACCAAAATTATTACAAAATGAATTACAGGCAGGACTTGAACCTGCATTTTCTGCTGTCTGGGTGGATGCACTATTTGCTATGCTACCGAGACCTTAATAATCATGACGAATTTCTTCTTGTATTTCTTAGGCTGCACGATAGTGCCATTTCTACGCATTGTAGATAAATCACAATGTCAAATGAAACCACAGATATAGGATGAAAAGATAGACAGAGTAACTATCGCTACTGTTCCATAAATATCTGTGCATGTGTGCGAATCGGTGTTTGGTTTTGAGTGATAGTGTCGATTTATCAAGATATGCTTAAAACACATAGGTCTGCGTCCTTAGACCTTTTTGTCGGGTCATAAGTATCAGGCTGAAACTTTCTAGATCGCTTCATTCTTTCCTACTGAAATTTAAAGATTAATTTATGAGAAAGTCAAAAAGTAGATTGTCCGACAAAATTAATGGGGACTATGCGCCAGTCGGACATACTGAAAATGTTGGAAATTCCAACTCAAAAAAGTGATTAATATGAGGCTAATTTTTTTTTATGGGTACATAAAAATTAATATAAACAACTGTAACGTTGTCCGACAAAATTTATGGGGATAAGCGCCAGTCCGACACTCGAAAAATGTCGAAAATACCAGCACAAAAAAGTGATTGATATCAACCTAATTTTTATTTTTTCAGTAATAAAATAATGTTTCAAACGTGATTCTACGATTGTCCGACAAGAAATGTGGGGAATACTAATAAAAATCGATAAAATATCTATTGAAATTATTCGTTCTGTATACAGCATTTAAGTATACCTATATATATCTCCCCTCTCTCCCTGAACGCTGTCTGTGTGTTTCTGTTCTGTGTTTGGCTGCATAAAAAGTGAGTGAGAAAGATGATGGGGCAGAGAGCGCACTATAGGTACCCAGTAGTTACAAACACACTGGCCGCGTGGCATCCATAACCTATTCACATGCACGCAGCCACGCAATACTTTTTGTCAACCCAAACCGAAGTTTATTTATTTAAATAAAAATAAACTTTTTTTGTTCAACTGTTGAAGTGCTGCCCTTCTATAGAAGAAACTGTTCATCATGCAGTGTTTTTTTTCAATGTTGGACCATTATAGATAACAAATATGTTTTTATTGGTTCGAAGGTCCAGAAAGTCCATCTTTCGAAGCTATCAGAGGTATTACATTCTTGTTTTTTCTTCGTAAATTATTTAATATAAATTAATTGTAACATTTCATTTTTTTAAATTTTACAGGCCAGAATGACTCTAGACAATTGCAATGACAGTGACCAAGAGAGTGAAAATGATGAAGCTGAAGAATCATCTGCATATGAAGAATCCGATAATGAAGAAACAGATCACAACGATTTCGATTAGACATAATAAAGAAGAACTATTAATAATTAATTAATTTTTTTAAACATTTGTAAATAAATAATTTTTTACTTACTTTTATTTTCTATTCTCTCTTGTATTCTAATTAAAATTTTGCCGTTATAAAAAGTGTTATATTTTTAAATGACATTGAAAAGCAGATGTTGCTTAAGATTCAAATTTTTATAAGATACAGTAATAATTAAAAAAAAAACTATTTTTTCATAATACAAAACCTTTAGTTCAAACCATAAACAAATAAACAAATATTTTTTTACATGTCTTCTATCTTTAATCTCTCCTTGAGTTAACTATTATTAGAATTTAACAAAAATAAAATAGTAACCAAAATGTATTCCTCAAAAATCTACAATTTAAATTTAAATTTTAAAAGGCCTGTTTAGCTTCCATTTTTTTAATATTATACGAATCCTCCTAAAAAAATCTGTAAGCTCGTATTTTGACACGTCTTATGTATGATATAGAAGAAAACAATAAAAAAATTATCGCTTGACTCCATGAGATAACGTATTAGCAAAAAATTGAGCGTGTGGAAACCACGCGCGGTAGAAGTCGTAGCCTTCTTAAACCATTTGTTGTATATATACTACTTAGATATTTAATAGTTTTTTCAATATTATCAATTAAAATTGATAAATTTGAGAAGTAATTTTTGTCAATTTTTTGAGTCAAGTCTTATGAAAAACTTCTAAATGTGTAACTGTTCATAAAAGCAGAAGATTGCTGTAGAAATTTAATTTTAAAAAATATTTTTTAGTCTATTTTTTTTAAACACTAAAAACGCTGTTCGCCACATCCGCCATGATTTTGACGTCTCTTGTGGTAAACAACTAAATGTCAATCGCGTGTTACTGTAGGTGGATTCTTTCGTCTGACTATTTTATCTTAAAACACTTTTAACTTTAGGAAAGAAAAAAACAGTAAACTTAGTTTTTTTTGACAAAACTAATTATGGATGCCGGCTTTGTGAAAGCAGAAAGCACAAATCTGCCAAGAATTGACGCATTGATGGTTGGTGAATTTGTTGCACTAAACCCAGATTTCTGCTCTGCGGAGCAGAGAAACGACAAGGCATCTATGTAAATACAGTGCATTTAGTATTATAATGTAGTAATAAACATAAAACTAACACAACATATGAATAAGTGTAATAAAGTTGCGTAGGTTAATTTCTTTCGGCACTTTAATCCACAACTTTCCTGGAGTCTTCAAGGATGTGTTTTTATATTCTCGTACAATACAGTAATGATAATTACTTTATTTTTCGTGGTATTTATTAGAAATCATGTTTTTTTTATTATAAACTCAGTTAAAAGTAATTTTCTACGTGTTTACGAGTTTTTGTTTACCACAGTTCACGTCATAGCATAGATAATCTATAGACTAAAATGGCCGACAGCGTTTTTGTATGTCCATGAAAAGTCTATTTTAAAATTAAAGATTTGTAGCTTTCTAGGTTTAAAAAAAATACAATACATTTTTTTCGGTCTAATAGAACATTTATTAACCATTTAAAACCTTTTTCCAAAAAGGGTCAACTAGCCTATTACTCATGTTTGTCCGACAAGTATTAATCACTTTTTTGTGCTGGTATTTTCGACATTTTTCGAGTGTCGGACTGGCGCTTATCCCCATAAATTTTGTCGGACAACGTTACAGTTGTATTATATTAATTTTTATGCACCCATAAAAAAATTTAGCCTGATATTGGTGTCAATTCTGACACGATTCTCTAAACCTAAACTTAAATTTGACAGCAGTATATCCTTGTCATTCTCTATACAGAATGAAAAGGAGAGACTGATGTCAAATTTAGTTTTAAGTTTAGAGAATCACGCCAGAATTGGCACCACTGTATCCTTGTTATTCTCTATACGGAATGAAAAGGAGAGACTGATGTTTAATTTAGTTTTAAGTTTAGAGAATCACGCCAGAATCGACACCATTAATCACTTTTTTGAGTAGGAATTTCCAACATTTTCAGTATGTCCGACTGGCGCATAGTCCCCATTAATTTTGTCGGACAATCTATTTTTTGACTTTCTCATAAATTAATCTTTGTAAGAATCGGCTTGGTATTAGTAAATTTTTGGCACCCGGACTTATCGACATGTTTCAAGGCCTCTAGCAAAATCAGTCCCCACTACCGAGATTTTTGTCAAATAAAAAGTTTGTCCGACTCACTGAAATGAAGCGATCTAGAAAGTTTCAGCCTGATACTTATGACCCGACAAAAAGGTCTAAG